TGATTTTCCCAAATGACTTAGGTTATCTTTTATTTTGTTTGAAACAAAAACATCACATTTTTTCTTTTGTTTAAAGCAAAAACCTCATATTTGATTGATATCTACACTCAGATTGGTGAGCTACCTAGAAAAACATCCACTTCAACAAAAGCACACAACTCAGTTGAGTAACAACAAACGTGTATATGGAGACATTTTGGGTGGCCCACAAAGGATCCCTCTTTTCTTGCTAAAAATCTGATTCCATTCAAAAACTAAAATTAACCCAGTTGGGTTCATAGAGCCCAGAGAAAATATAAAATTCAATTTCCCCAGAAGAACCTAGATCTTGCTAGATACCATCAACTTGAATTGTTTTGCTTAGCTCAGACTGAAATTAAAATTATTTTTGGAATCAAAGCAGACCTCACCCATCCTGCCTAAAACGTTAGACTATTTCTTTCATGGCCTTAAACATGTTCTTTTCCATTAAGCAGCTGTAACTTCGCAAATCTCTTTACAAAACTCATTCTCTGGATGAAGGCCACAGTTTGGTGGCCTCCACGCCAAAGCCGGCATCAGCAGTGATGAGCATCCCCATGCCCCAGGTGAGAATTGTCCGGAGTCAGAACTGGGTGTTAAAAAGAAGATGCTCTGGATTGCTCCCCACATCACTCAGTCTCGGGTTGGCCCAGTGCGCAATGGCAGGCACGTCCCTTTCCATCCACCTAAGAATGTCGTCAGAAGTCCAGGAACATTTCTGCTAAGTCCGTAACACCAGCCATAATTCTTACGTCTCATCCAATGTATGTCCTGTCTTCCTGATTTTAGTTAAAGGCTTCTGTTAATCATAATTGGGTCAGTTTCTCCTTTGTTGAGCAAATCAATCCTTCAAGCTGTCACTATTAATACGAGACAGCCTTTCTAAATCTTCTTATTAAATTGCAATGTACATTCTTTCAAGCACTGCTGGATGTAATCTAATATCTACCAACCTCCAGATATTCCATTTATTTCCAACTATTTCTTCCATCTCATTTATCCCTTAATTACCCAGTTTGGGGAACCATAAACGTCAAAGAAATGTAATGAAGGAAGGAAGGTTCCATTTCTCTTTGGGGGAGGAATCAAAAGAATATCAGATCTATATACCTAATACACTAAAGGAAGAAAACTGGGCCAACCGGCAATTTTTACCTCAAGGTCATGAGTCAATGGAGTCCAGAGTATAAAGCTGTTTCTGTGTGACTAGGCAGTTTTGTTTCAATTCCGTGTGGACTAATATATGTCCCCCATACACACACACACACACACACACACACACACATTCATGTATGTGCAGACATACACACCCGCCTATCCACACACAAACATGCCCCAGAAAATCTGCATCTCCTTTTTATTTCCAGATAAAATTGGACCTGAGGAACTCATTATCAAATGAAGCTTTTAGATTTACATTTTAAAATCTTAGATATGAATTCCTTAATCTTATGGAAAAGCAAGGGAATTAGGAGTTATTCGTAAGTGCATTAGAGAAGGTATGCAAACAAAGCCAATCACTTTTGGCATTTGGGCAAATCCAAGAGCTTTAACAGTAGCTGGGGATTATCAACAAATCCCAATATCATGTGCATATGTTAATATGTACGTGTGCATAATATAAAATGTGCTACAAAACACGCTCCTATATCAACACCATGTGTATTCTGTGCTAGGCACGCCTGCCTGCTCATTGCTGGGAGAGGGACTCATTCAGATTACACACAGCATGTTCCAATACTCAATACACCCAAACCCTAGAGTACTTCCACCTGTTAATTCTGCGCAAAAATTAGGATGCACCTGACAAATGGCACATATTTACGCCAGAAAATACAGGAGAAGGAATACTCCGCTGCCCCATGCAGGAAGCTTTGGTCTCTCCTCACCTTCCCAGTGGCTCCGCCTGGAGGTCACCTGCCAGACAGCTGTAGAACATGAATACTAGTCGGCGACATCACCGAAACACACAGAACAGAAATTCAGGTACGCCCTCTAGCACTTCCCCTCCTGCTTCACGTGACAAAGTGGGTAAACCGAGTCAGTCTCCCTTGAGCAGGGAAGAAGGTCTCTCAGCACTGCACAGTGTGAGAACCCATGACAAAAGCCATTTACCGGCGCCCTGCCTGGGGATTCTTTATTCTCTGAATAAAGCAGTGCCTTGGATCCCATCTTGCTCTTCTTTGGGCAAACGTTCTAGCCGGACGTCACTGCCTATCAAACTGCTGCCGTGTGATTTTTTAGCAAAATCATTTAATGTTTTTTTCAGAAAACGGACACAAAAACTGAAAAAAAAAAGGTCCAGAAAAACTGTGGACACTTTTGCCAACAACACAGCCCCAATCTCAGCCCAGCTGTGGTGACATGCAAGAACGTTGGCAGGTCTTCCGGATCTCTCTCCTGGGCGCTGGGGGAGGGCAAGAAAACATTCCTTCCAGGCCAGTGGACTCCCGTCTGCTTTGCTCTCTGCTCAAAAACCTGTGCTTTCGTCCATTCTGACCATCTTACAACCAGCCCTGGCTCCCAGACCTAACACAAATAATCAATGATTCAACCCAGTTCTCTGCCACACATTTAGTAATTCACAGAGTAATTGATCCTACTTCTCAGTTTGTCAATAACTCGGTCACATATAACTATCTCTGCAGGGAAGGATTTTGTTTTGTAAACTGTGGTTATCCTAACTAACCATGACATTGACTATTTAATTGAATTGGCTAGGTGCTCCCAGGGAATACTTCAGGAGTGCGCTATCTCTATACAAACCGAGGTCCTGGTGTGAACTATAACTGGCAGAGAGAATAGGCAAAATGATTCTGAAGTCAGCTTAAAAAGTTGAAAAAACAAACACCTGCTACGCCTTTTCTAAAACCTGTTTGTGAGGATCCCTGAACCCTGTCCTCCTGGAAGAAAAACAATTAATTTTTCAGATTACTCCCATCCCGAAAGCCTTTTCATGCAAAGGCATTTGATGGTACCCGAAAGCACTCATTTCCCATTCCCTAACACCAGCAGCTCCTGTTAGGCAAAGGCCGAACCAGTCAATCTCTGGCGGACCACAAGCCAGGACCTCTACCACGAGAGCAGCCCCCATTCCCGGCTCTTCAGGCGCATCGCCTGGCCTGTCGAATGGCTCTGTAGAGTCTACACTTCCTTCAGAGCCATGAGTTAGCCTGAAATATCATGTGAGCTAGACATGACATTAAGTCAAAAGAAAACTTGAGAGACTTTAGAAAATGGGCATATAAAGATACTTACCTTAGCAGGGATTTCCTTGAGTGACAAGTTGAGGGATTTTATCTGCTCCTGGAGGCTAGAAGAATTAGAAAGAGGACATTGGTCTTCTTGGAATCATAGTTCCATACCACCACATAGAGGAACACTGTGAAACGGTGAACTTCCCATCAGCCTAAAGGCTGAAGAACAGTGGGAAAGATGATGCCAAATTGGTTCCATTTGACTGTGGAATAACATGTTGCTAGGAAGCAGATTTCACCTCCCTAATGATGCTCTACTTAGGCTAGTGCTTAAATCTGTCCTTTCCATAGTGAACATCTCCATAGCACATGGATAGGGTAAAGGAGCAACCCAGATGTCCTGGCAGCAAAGGATGAAAATTCACATTCCTATAACTACCTTCCAAGAAGGATGATGGTCTACACAGGGTAGCATTTCACAGGCAGTAATCAAATATTATCTATTCAGGTCCGCTGTGTAATCCAACAAATATGGATGGATGACAAATGGATGAAACTAAGAATCAGATCTTATTCTCAATGTTGTTACCTAAAAGAGAGGAAGTACATGCAGACAATCAACTACAATATGAAGCAAGATGAAAAAAATACTATTGGGAATAGGAACCCAGTGCTAGGATCAAACTGCTACCTAAAAACTGTCACAGGCAGGGGCACCTGGGCGGCTCAGTTGGTTAAGCCTCCAACTCTTGGTTTCAGCTCAGGTCATGATCTCGGGGTCGTGGGATAGAGTCCCACATCGGGCTCCACACTCAGTGCAGAGTCTGCTTGAGATTCTTTCCCCCTCCCTCGCCCTCTGCTCCTCCCCCTGTTCATGCACGCTCTCTCTCTCTCAAATAAATAAATAAAACCTTAATTTAAAAAAAAAAAACCTATCACAGGCAGATACTATCTCCAAGGGCACAGTGGAGACAGTAAGGTGGGTAGCAATTTAGAAAACTATGGGACTAGTGGGAGAGCTTCCTGAAAGAGGCGGAAAGTGAACCAGGCCTCAAGGGAAAAGAAGGAAGAACAAAACTCCAGGGAAAAGATGAGTCCAACTGGACCATATCATTCACAGAGGTGAACTGTGATGGACGAGAAGAGGAAGGATTGTTTCTAATGGGAGTGGGGGAGAGGGATAAGACAGAGGGGAGACGTCTGTCCACATCTGCAATGTGTGCTTGTTTATTTAGGAAAATACAGCAGGGGGGGGAATGCTAATATTTGTTTAATCTCAGTGGTGGGTAAACGAGTATATATTTTTCAGTGTGTTTCGAATATTCACAATCAAAATAATTCTTAAAGGAATACCAAGGACAAGTATCGTCAATACTGAACACTGGGCTAAGGAGTTCTGAGTTTTATCCCACAGGCAATGGGAAATTATTCTAGTTTTGAGCAGGAGAGCAATAGGAAAGAAATAGGGTTTTTCTGGAAAATTAATTGGGCAGTCTGTGAGAGGGGACTCGGAGTAGTCAGGCAGGCACCTTCAGCAGAAGCCCAGCTGCAAGGCCCAAGGGCAGGCACCGAGGGACAGAAGTCCAAAAGGAAAGGAAGGTGGGGATCCTCTTTCATTACGTTGATGCTGAAAAACAGTGAAAACATATGCTCTGGGTCTTTTCACTCATTCATTCATTCATTCATTCATTCATTCATTCACAAACTCATTGTGAATATCTCCTGGGCACCTAGTAAGTTAGGAACTCAGAGCATAAGGACCTGGTTCTTGCCCTCAACAGCTCACTGCTTCCAAACAGTAGCCCAAATGAAAAAAATTTAAAGAAAAAAAAAAAGGTATAGGTACTAGAAGAGAAAAGGTCACTTAGCAAAACGGTGAGCTGCAAATGCAGGGAAGGTCAGGTTTTCTGGGGTCTGTGTGGGGAGAGGGGTCAGGAAAAGCTTCTCTGGCAGGGGTTGCATAGTATCCGAGGGAGGTGGCCATTTTGCCCTTTGCTGGGGTTCTTCAGCTCTAAGAACTGGTTTTGAACGTCATCACCTCGACCAACCTGTGACTTCTGAGCACAAGCAAGTTCGTGTCCATTGCAAATGACCTGGAGCTGGGGCAGGTCCCTTCTAAACAAGTCATCCCCACTTCAGACCGACATTCAGCGGAGGAGGGGCACCCCACTGAGCTGAGGTCAGATTACAGCTGACAAAGAGCAGGGCACACCGCGGGCAGCAGGATTTTCTGAATTCAGGAGTCACAATAGGACAAACATCGGTGTGCTTGGTGGGAACAGTGGGAACGCACATGTGGAATCCTGCCTGCAGAATTCCAGCCCGCTGGATGGAGGTTGGATCCTTTGAAAGGAGGTGAGTTTGAGTGTCATGCTAACATGGAGAGCAGGGAACAGACCCAGCCGCTGGAGAGGCTAGGAAGAGAAGAGCAGAGGGTGTCCAAGATGCGCCGGTACCCATTCTACCTCTGATTCCAGAAGCAACTCTAGCTTCGTGCTGTTAATGTCTATTGTCCACACTTCAAACTCCCCGTGGTTCTCCAGAAATGCACTCTCCCTTGCCAGGCAGATGGGAGTCCATGCAACTAATAACTTTTCAGGAAACAGTTCACCACAAAATTAATCCTATATGATGAGCATTGAATAGTATTTTATAAGTAAGTGTTTGCGGCCACACACAAAGACTAGTTCATGCATTAACAATGAAGATAGATAAGTGGTGGATCCACTTACTGACCCTGAAAATTCAGCTGACCAAATAGCAGTGCCTTTAACTCACACTCAATAGGTCAAGAACCAGCCTTCCAGGGGTTGACGCAATTCGCTGGTCTTGGTCAGCTCGGGTCCTAACCCAGAAAGAAAACGAATCTCCTCTCAAATATCCATGTTACAGCAGGGAAGCAGTGATGCAGATAATTGAATGCATTGTTTCATATTTGATTTGATTTATATTTAATTTATTTAATTTATGCTGTATTACTTTTTGCAGTAGATTTACCTTCCTAATTATGTTTTGCTCAGGCTAATGTTAACATTAGTTGCATCCCTGGGGTATACACAGAATGAAAGCAACAGGGGGCAGAAGAATATGAATAATCTACATACCAGGCTAGTGGTTTTCAAGCTATTTTTAGTAGCAGAACTCTTCCAGACAAATTGTACATAGAACTGCAATCTATATATAAAATCCATAACAAGGGGATCCGGTCTGGCATGGGGTACAAACAATGTCACTCTGACCCCACCCACTTAGTGCCCCACCATCACCCTGTGGCCCATGAACCAAGATTCCAGGAGGAGGAATTCAAATTAAAAACCACTGAATTAGATAAGTTAAATGTTTAAAAAAAAAAAAAGTTACACTTCAATGATTAAAACTAATCCCCATGTTTCTTTTAAGCTTGTGTATTTTTTTAAACATACTTTTTTTTTAAGATTTTATTAATTTATTTGACAGAGAGAGAAGCAGTGAGAGAGGGAACACAAGCAGGGGGAGTGGGAGAGGGAGAAGCAGGCCTCCTGCGGAGCAGGGAGCCCGATGCGGGGCTCGATCCCAGGACCCTGGGATCACGACCTGAGCCGAAGGCAGACGCTGAACGACTGAGCCACCCAGGTGTCCCAAGCTTGTGTATTATTAACGACACATGAGAACTGTCTTCTCAGATCAAATACACCGATGCTAGAAGCACCTACACTGTCTCCACAAATAATGTCTTAGCAAATACATCAGACCTAATTTACTCCAATTGAGTACCTTCGTGCAAAGCAGCCGTCCTAGGACTAGTAGTGCCAAACATTTATTGAGCACTTACTGTGTACCAGGCCCTCTTCTATATTCCTTACATACATGAGCATTTTAAATTCTCACAACTCTGTGCAGTAGGCACTATAATATCTACTTTTTCAGACAAGAAAGCTCAGTCAACGAGAGATTTAAGTAACTGTCCCAGGGTTAACCAGCTGGCAAGGGAGTAAATGATGACCAGGCAGTCCAGCCGTCTGTTCTCCTAACCACTAACCAGTACTGCCTCTCCTGGAAGCCGAGTCCTTGTTCAAAACATGCTCTCACTGTCCAGCCTGACTTCTAGAATCCTATTTTAGAATTATGTTAAATCTACCGTGCAATCGCTATCATTATTTGTAAACGCACATTATTCCTTACTCACAAACTGGTGTTTAAATCATATGACCAAAATGCACCTTCAACAAATGAAGCCTTGGAAAAATCAAGACTGTCGACAAGAACGTGCAGCAGAGAAAGCACATCAGGGGCAGATGGGCCGGGAGCTGGTGGTGGCAAAAGAACTCGAGGGCAAAGGGGTCACTTATGAGTTGATTGTGTCCCTCTCACCCCAATTCATTATGTTGGTGTCCTCACCATGGGATCTTACTCGCAGACAGGGTCTTTCCAGAGGCAATCAGATTAAAGCAAGGGCATGAGGGTGGACCCTAATCCCACATGCCTGGTGTCCTCATGGAAAGGGAAAATTCGGATACAGACCCACACACGCACAGAGGGAGGACCACGTGGGGACACAGGGAGAAGACAGCCAAGAAGAGCGGCCTCGGGAGAGACTAAAGCTGCCGACACCTTGCTCTTAGACTTCTAGCTTCCAGAACTGTGAGACAGTAGATTTCTGTCATTGAAGCTGCCCTAGTCTGTGCTATCTTGTTATGCTGCCCAAGCAACCGAACCCATGGGGGGTTTTCAATTTTCAACTCAAATTCACATGCAATTAATCATATGTGTTATTAAGATCCTACAGGCTGGTACTCCGGGGTCCAACCAAAAAAAAAAGTCACTTCTCCATAGCAGCAGGTGGACAACAGACAACTTGACAGCTCTTTTGTTTGCTTCAGACTAACAGACGGTTCCATCTGCAACTCACCCAAGTGGCAGAGCAAGAGGCTACAACAGGTATGTGCAGAATGCGAACGTCCTTACTGGTAGCGTGGGAGCTAAGGATTTGAGGGGCGGCTATCAGAAAAGTTTATATAAGGGGACTCCTGGGTGACTTCATCAGTTAAGCATCCGACTCTTGATTTCGGCTCAGGTCATGATCTCAGGGTCTTGAAATCAAGCCCCAAGTCGGGCTCTGTGCTCAGCGTAGAGTCCG